ATAAATTGGCTCTAGATTCTGTTCTCTGTTTTGTGGGATCAGAAAATCACAAACCAACTGATCTTTCAATTTGCTCACTTACAATCCCCTGTGCTTGTTTATTCATTTTACAGTGGATGGACATTGCAGGGGGCTTAACAAACTACAGTTCTCCACTTGGCTAACTAATGAGGGAACCTGAATAACATTGGGATCATGACTGGTGACCTTGAAGTTAGCCAGGACAGTGAATTTTCTTGTATAATGTCGCCAAGATGACATAATTGATCAACTGATCTCTACTAGGGCTGCAACTGCCATTGTGGCCATTTGGGAGGTGAACCAGGGAATGGAAGACTTCTCTCTTTGTCTCTGCCTCTCTCTGTAATTCTGCCACTCAACCAAATAAATCTTAAAAAAAAAAAAAAAAAAGGAATGTATTTTAGCAAGAAGCCAAGTAGAAAGATCAGAAGTAGAAGAGCAAAGACTTGAGTCAGGCACTTTGATATGGGAGGTGGGTATCCCAAGTAATGATTTAATCACTGTGTCACATGTCAGTTCCCTTCCTGAAATCTTTTGGAGACCATCAAAGGTGGTCCATTTCATGAGCCATAATAAAATATCTTAAGATTTTCTCTTCCTGATCTTCTAGTCTTAATATGTCAGCCCCACTTTTAAAATTATTTTTAAATTTTATTTACTTACTTAGGAGAGAGAAAGAGAGACAGACAGACATGGATGGATGGAGAGCACCTGTCCATTGGATCACTTCTCAGATGTCTGCATTGGCCTGCAGCTGAAGCTGGGAACTGGGAACTCAATCAAGTCTCCCACATAGTAGCAGGAACCACCTTCCCCAACCCTCTTTGCTTTAAACTCTTGAACTTTGTACTGTCTTGAAGCCTTTTCATTCTTCATCTCTTCATCCCCTCTCTCCCTTTCTCAGATTTTAATTTGCCCCACTATCTAGCATCTTCTTTTCCATTCCTTTCCAAGTACAAGCTATTTAAAACATATAATTTTCATTTTTGATTCTGCATTGCAATGCCCATGTTGCAGCACAATCTACAGGAGGGAATAAAAAGGAACCTCAAGTAATACAAGGGTGGATGGAGATAATTTACTAGCTACTTACTGTATCTGCCTTCTCATCCTATTTGTTAATCACCTCTGAACAGTGTGTGCTCCATTCTAGACCAGGGCTTCTTGCTTTACCAATAGTCTGCAGTTTTCATCATGTTGTAATACTTCCAGGAAATCCTTGCTAGGAAAATACATAATTTACAGAAAGACAATGAGAGCAGCTTGCTAGACCTCCCAGAGAATGGAAGAACCTGGAAACCTTCCTGATGGAGAAGCTCTCTTCATTGCAGATATCTCTAGAGGCACATCCCCCCACCCCACCCCCGCCAAGTGCTTCGCTACCGTCAGTGCATGATGGCGTTTTCCTGGGATTTCACTTCCTCCAGCCTCTCCCCAGAATGTGCTTTCCATAATTCTTCCCCGGAATTAGCTTTTCCAACTCTTCTCATATGCATGGCAAACAAGAATCTATTCCATATGGTTTATATCTTAGGACACTTCTGGTTTTATGGATGATGGCTACTGTGTTTTCAATAACATATGTTACTACCATTGAAACCATTGAGTGCAAATTCACAGTGTCGTTGAATGAAGGATGTGGACAAACAGGAACATGATCGGTATGGAAGAAAACAGATAGTTCATTCATCCAGAGATATTCATCAAAGCATCTATAATACTGTGTTTGTCATGCAAGTTCTAGAGATAAGTCAGCAAGATCTTTGTCCTCAAGAAACCTATTGTTTGGGTTAGGGACAAGCATTAAATGTGTAAAGTACTCAAGGGCTCAGGGTACTAATGTAGGAAAGTCCATAGCCTGCAAAGAGGGGAGAGAAGGGAGGAAGTGATGAGGTGGAACAGAAAAGCTTTCTGTATTTGTCAGTACTCGGTGAGTTGTGACAGAAGCATCACTCTAACTAGCTTATGCAAATGGAAGATTTATTAGTGTATATAATTTAGGAAGCCCAGGGATGTTTCTGGCTTCATGCTTGACTAGATCTGGAACTCAAACAATGTATTATAATCCTTCTTAATCTGTCTTCCAACTCTGCTTCTGTCTGCATGCTGACCTCATTTTCTCCAACATAGATGCACTTCTTCCTTGTGGCTTAGAAAATTCACCCCTCAGACATAAATCATCTCAGCTTACCTCTAGTGGGAACAGCGGATTTTTTCTCTGCGTATTCACATGTCTTGTATTGGTTCTGCTTGGGTCACTTAGCCACCTTGTGGCTCAGTCACAATTGCAAAGAGGTAAGGTCATATGATTGGCTGACCTGAATCCCACGCACATCCTGATGGCAGGGATGAGTGAGGGTACATGCAACTAGATGTGACTAGCATTCCCACCAATGTCATTTACAGTGAGGGCAGACATGTTCCCCCAAAGGAAGAAAGACTGGGCAGATCAAAATTAACCCATGGTCACTGCAGATTCATTGATATTTCAGCTGTACCCTCAGAGGTGAGTGATATTTTTGTCTAATGCAATAGGGGGATATTAAAGGGAATGGTAAGATCAAAACTAGGAAGACATGAATCAAGCTGGCAGATCAGAAGACTGCACCTAGTTTTTGAGGTAGAAACATGTGGTTGTGGGTCATGGCTTGAGATGGAGCTGTGAGATCACAGAAGCCTCATTGACCAGGCTAAGGAACTGACATTTCACACTGCGGGCAATGGGGAGATCTTCTGGTTTTAGGAAGGGAATGGAAGTCATTGGATTTCTGTCTTAGAATTCTCACTCTGACCACAATGTGGAGGGTAACCTGGAGAAGCCAAGACTTGGAGGCATGGAGGTCAACAAGGAAGCAAGCACAGTAAAACAGGTGGAGATGGGGTATAAGCAGCTAAGCTCTTGGGAATGCCATGGGTACTAATAGAGAACAGTCTATATATGCAGCTGGGAAGATAAAGGAGGGAGTATTAGGGCAATACTAAGACTATAGTGGGGACATAAAATATGTGGAAAATGGCAAGAAGAATCAACAGAATTTGATCTTCAAGAGAGTGAGTGTCTAGGATGACTCAGATCCTGGCGGGAAGGGATGAAGAGTACACAAGAAGGAACAGCTGTGAGGGTAGGAGCTGAGGGCTGGGTGGCTGGGGGAGGGGTGATTGCATGTGTTGAGTTTAAAGGAGTGATTAAACAGTTGGCAATTCAGTCTGGGCACCTGGAGCTCAAAGGAGGAGAGTTGGAGAGTATGAGAGAAGCGCCCAAGATTTACTCGTTTTGTCTTAGTTATGTGGGACCCAGCAGGCTAGCCAGGTGAGGAGCAGAGCTTGGTCGATGATAGTTTCTAAAATAGTCACAGATCTCACGTTGGCAGGGAGATTATTTTCCTGACTTGAATATTATGTTTCAGTGGCTCAAGATTATGAGCTAATATTTCTTGACATCTGTGTATTGCACAGAAAACCTTAGTTATAGCACAAATTATTATTCCACTTATTTGAACAGCAGTGGTACAGTCACATCCCAGAAACATAGCACCTACATAGGGTACAGCACCCAGACTTTGTGCCTGTTGTATTGTGAAATGCTGTTATGTCTTGTTAAAAAACTTCTCCCTGCATCGATGAGCAAAGGAAAATAATCCAGTGCACTCAATGTGTCAGTGAACCACCCTTGTGCATTCTGAAAACAGAGCAACCAAAAAGGACTTTCTATCCCTGTGGATCGCATTTGTATGATGTTCACTGTCTGCACCAAAGAAGCATGAAGAGAAGCATGTCGTGCAGCCCCTAATGGAAAGACCTTGATGGAAATATGAGTTCAAGGAAAATACATCCCTTCTTTAAAAATGTATTGATTTATTTAAGAGACAGACAGCTCCCATCTGCTCGTTCATTCCCCCAAACGCCTGCAACAACTGGGGCTCAGCCAGGCAGAAGCCAAGAAATCAATCCAGGTCTCGCACATGGGTGGCAGGGGATCAAGTACTGGAACCATGACCTACTTCCCTCTAGGATCTGTATCAGCAGGTACTAGAATTGAGAAAGGAGCCAGGACTGAAACCCAGGCATTCTATTATGGGATGTAGGCATCCCAGCCAACAGCCTTAACCTCTACACTGAAGGCCAGCCCCAGAAAATACATCCTTAAACACCAATTTCTAGGCATTACCTAGAAGTAAACATGGCAATACAAATCATAGCAAATAACATGATTGAACACTTACTGTGTGCAGGTGTTGTTCTGGGATCTTTACCTGTAGCATCTCATTTAATCCACACCCCAGCCACATTGTCTGGGTATAGCTGTCATCTTCACTCTATGTGGGAGAAGGATTTGCCAGAAGTCACCCAGGTAACAGGGGACTGAGCTGTGAGGTGCACCCAGGCAGGGGATTCCAGACTTCATAACCTCAGTGAGCCCTGCCCCTTGGACTGCTCCCCCAAGGCTGGTTTAAACAAAGACACCTCTCTAATTCATGTCGGTTGCTATTTGCAATTGGATGATCTGTCCTCCAAAATTTGAAATTGATTATCTGGATGAATCTAATCTTAGACTTTCCCACTGTGTGGTTCGACCGTATTTGCAGTGTGTAGCAACCTATGTCTTTTGGACTGAGATATTTTTATTCTTTGTCTCCAAATTAACATTGCACAGCACATGGCTCTGTGTGTGTGTGTGTGTGTGTGTGTGTGTGTGTGTGTTTAAACCGCCTTTTCTTCCGCATGCAATTGCTGCAGCCTGGCTGAGTGAGGAGGATTTCTCCCACTCACCGAGCCCACTGCAGTCAGATTTGGAGAAGACCGCTGCTTACCACACACACCCAGAGCCAGTGGGGCAGGTGATGCTGTGTGTGTGCCCGCGTCTCTGGCAGTGTCTCTACAGATGTGTGCTGCTGCCGCTCCCTGCCTTACAATCCCTGCAGCCACCACCCATCCACTCTGACAACCTCTCTCTCTTTCTCTCTCTCTCTCTTTTCAAGGAAAAAAGAAAGAGGCAGACGGAAATAGAAGGCAAGCGACAACAGCTTGACGAGCAGATACTTCTGCTGCAGCATTCCAAGGTAAGCGGCTGATCCCCCAGACCTGTTCCATTATTAGACATGCAGATCACACCCCAGAGAGCTGGGCAGAGCCTGGCCTGCCGTCAAGGCGCTGCTGCCGCTGCCTCCTCCAGCCTCATGTGTTCAATCAGGAAACCCTCTCTTGGCTTTTCTTGTGAATTTCTCAAATTCAAGGCATTGTTGCAGCATTCCAGTTTCTGCAAGCATGAGATGAGAGCGTGCATGGGGCCTGGGGTGGAGGGTGGTGTGTATGCATGGTAAATGTGACAGTGAGATCCAGAAATTAGATGAGAATACTCCACATGGTGGATGAAGTGCCAGGGCTGTCCGGGCTCCCAGGCAGAGGGGTTGGTGCTCAGAGGCTCTGAAAGATACGTTTAGCTTATTGTGCTTTTCTGAAAATCACAAATATTAATATTTGTCTTAGTATGGAGAAGAGGAAGACAAGGCAGGGTGAGCTGGTAAAAGAGCTACACAATATGCTCAGATTATTCATTTACCTTATTTCTGCTTGAACAATCCTGAAAGTGTTCTGTGAGGACAAGCACTTGGTCAAAGGGGGCTTTTCAATGATTTGACTTGGTTGGGTGTCCATTGCACCATGTTAGAGAGACAGAGAAGAGAGAGGTATTCTTTAAAACAAATATATTTAAACACAGTGATTGATTACAGCCGGGAGAAAGCTCTGTCACTGTCACAGGACTCCACTGGTTGCAGAGGGTGCTTTCTGCCTGTTCAGAGAATGAAGGGACCACATTCCCATGGTCCAGCAGGAGTTGCCACTTGCCTTTTGCTGCTCCTGGGATTTTTATTAGGAAAAACCCTTGCACTGCTCCATCAAGTTGCTGTGATGTTGCTCAGGGGACAGGTTGGGAAGGCGGCACTGACTCTCAGAGAGTGATGCTCAGTGTGGATTATTTGGGCTTCTTTTAATAAAATGAGCCTTTATGGCCACAATTTTCTGTTCCTTTCTTTAAAAAAAAATACAGGGTTGTGCTAAATGAATCTTCAAAACAAGAATCCTCGGTGAGCCAGTTAGTGACTTCAAATAGCAGCCTGGCCTGTATCTGCTTAGCATGTTTGTCTGGCTAGCATTTAAGTTTAGCCGGAGAGACATGTTGGAAAGGAAGAAAAGCCACACAGTGGTGAGAATATTGTCCATTTCTGTTTGTCATGTAAAGCCATTTGCAGGCCTTTCTTTGTAGGCGCTCACACCAGATCCCACTCGCTGTTGCGCTTTCCTTATAACATTCCTGAGGGAGGATGGAGAGCTAAAATTAGTATCCTCTTCCTACAGAACAGGGGACTCAGAAATACAAAAGAGAAATGAGTGAATTGTTCAAGGTCAGTCTGGATGGAGCTGGGTCTATGGCTCACAGCACAGCCAATTCATTCCATTTAAGAGACCAGCATGTACTAAAACCTCAGTGGATTCTTGGGGAAAGCAAGATTTTTAAAAGCACAATGGAATGAAGAAGACAGGCTGCTTTAGACCAGACAGCTCCTCTCCTCTGTAAGCTCAGTGTAGTTCTCTGCTTTTGCATTGGTTGAATCCAAAGTCAAGCAATGAACCTATGTTAGACAGGCAAGTTTCCTCTGTTCCACTTCTCATCATTCCAGCTGCCAAATAAGTCAACAGGGGCTCTTCACTGCTGGTGTCCAGCACAGTGCTACAGTATTCTGTTCCTGTTCTATCTGTCCATACCTGCATTTGTCCATCTGTCCAGCCACCCAGCCAATAGAAACAAGAGTAAAAATGGCTCAGCTTTGCATGGGGAAGCACTGAACTTCCTTCAAGGACTTGGAAACAGGGAGTCAGTTCTTTCTTGTCGTCCCAGGAAAATTCTCACATGGTTGATGAGATCGACTATCTAAAGGTACACCCAACACTTTCATCAAGATAATCTTGCTGTAACTGGTGGAGGGTGGGGGGAGAACTGGAGGAGACTGTTGTTTAATAAGGAGACCAGTGCCTTGTATTTTTCTCTCTCTGAAGAAGACTTACGTGGGCAGAAAGAGGATGGATTGCTAGCCTTGAACAATGAGAAAGGAAAACTCGGGGTTTCCACAGGTAGCAGCATTTGTCTGGTACCCAAAGGGACACTGAGCTCTGTGAGGAACTGAGATTCTGGGCACTGGGGAGGCAGGGTTGGTAGCAAGGCCAGGTGAGTCCCAGTGAAACTTCCCTCATTGCTCTGTCTCTGTGTTCACTGAGGACATCCTCCTTCTTTTGATAGAAGGTAAGGGGTGCCTGGTGGGGGAATCGGGCCACTTCCGGCATCAGGAGGGGGTGTATTCCACTTGACATCAGCCAACTGCTCACTGAACCTGAGTAGCAGGAGCTACCTTCCCTGTGATCCTTCAGTTCCCAGCATGGCGACCTCACACTGGGTGAAATTAAACTCGTGGAAGTTGTATTTCCTCTCTATGAAACCCTCAGGGAGAGTCGGCCAGCTCTCTCCTATCAACACTGTGACCTGGTCATCCCCTTGTCCACTCTCAGTAATAGTCACCATTTTTGGAGTTCCCAACATGTGCCTGGAACAAACCCTTGATAATGACCACCAAGTTCGATCTTACTGTCCACAGTGCCTGAAGTCAATTAGTTCAACCAAGAACATAAAGACTATGTGAGGGAACTGGAATTGAACCCCAGTGCTGCCTGGTGCCAAAGACCATGCTCTTCCTGGGGTGCTGTTCTCTTTGAATTAAATGTCTCCTTTTGAATAATTTGTCTAGAATAATACCAGCTATCATCCTCACTCTCTCTCTTATTCTTGGTTTATTTTCAGGGACTCCAGAAAATCTAGATTGTGTGGATGTATGTCACAGCTATTATTATTAAGTCCCTTTAAGTAGAAAATATAGGAAGTACATCAGTATTTAACATTTATTTTACTAAATTTATAGAATCCCAGCTGCTCTCTAAGAAAGAACATATATTCTCAGTATAAAGGTTAATGGGAAAACATTAGCTATAACTTCACATTTAGGAAGATGTACTTTTCATATTCTTTATAGAATTCTCATAATCTATATTTTAAGATACTCTCACATGTGGGGATTATGTAATTCTTACACAATTCTCCTATCACCTAGTCTGTGGACACTTATTCACTTGCAATGAGATATGAATTATTCAGACAGATTCACTGGTCTCTTGTCAGAGCAAATAAATAGAATGAGAGACAATAGTTTTGGCACTTGCATATTTGTTTAATATTCTTGCTCATTGCAGTACTTCAGAGTATACACTTAAGTCACCGCACAGAATAGAATATCATTACTTTGTGTATGGACTGTGAGGAAATTCTATAACACGGTGAGGACCAATGTGTGAAACAGTGCTGTATTAGTTGCTACACACCAGTGTTTAGGAAACCTGAAGATACTTTGAAATTCTGCACAAATTCAACTCAGATTTTTTTTACAAGATCCTTACCTATATTTAATATCTAATACTTATGATGTAAGAGTTTCTAAGAGATACTCGCAAATAGAGCTAGCAAGCCATTTTGATAGCTGTATTATTTTTGCTGATTATAAAAAGAAAGAATATATGATCATTTCAAAAACTCAATTTAAAAATACAGGGAAAGATCAAGGAAAAAAACCAACTGTATACTCCATACCCAGACAAAATCCATACAGGGGAGTATTCTTTTACCCTCTCGTACTCCCCAGTTTATTACTATAAGTGAAGACATAGAACCTTTGTTCATAGGCCTCATCAACCTGAGGACAAAATGAGATTATAGTGACATCAGTGTTACCTTTATCTCTTTTTTATAGGGTGTATAGGCTTCTTTAAATTTATGATTTTTATTGTTTCCTTTGTAATTGCTGATTCTGATATCATCCTATGAAAGAAATCTCCATCTCAGACACTTCATTTACAATGTTTCTTACTTAGGAACCTTGGTAGTTATAATCCATTTAGAATTTATTTTTCCATAAGGTGTGAGACAGGAATATAACTTTACTTTTGACTGATGATGAGCCTCTTGTCTAGACACGACCTATTAATTCATCTTTCCTTCACTGCTTTAAATGCCTTCTTTATCACATACATATTTCTCAGTTATTCTTGGACCCACTATTCATGGGTAGATTCTTTTTATTCCATTAATCTGCCCATTCCTGTGCCTCTGCCACTATTATTTAATTCCTATATCTTGTTAATATATTGTAATATTTCATAAGGCAACAGCCATTATTAGTGTTCTTTTGAAAAATTGTCTTGGCTTTTTATTCCATGGGAGCTGTGATTTGCTTTTATTGTATTTATAATATGACTTGTGGTAATGCAAGTTTTCAAAAAAATAAATCAACTGCTGTATTACATCAGAAGAGACTGGATTTAATATTCCCTTCTTTCTGTGGTTGATGTGTCAGGGACTTGTCTGTTTTACTGGTTGGTTTCAAGTCCCTGCTTGGAGCAGGCACTCTGTGTGTCTTGCAAAGTGAACTCCTTGGGGACTGTCGCATTTATAGAGGTTTGTCTGACAGAGGCAGCGTTGTCAGAATCAAACTGCTCACACCACATCTTCAGTACATAACCTGCTTTTGAATTACTTATTCATGGGCAGGGAACTCTGGTGGGAATTTTCTTCCAGTCCAAGCTATGGAAATTGTCATTATATTTTAAAGTCAAGAATACTGAATGAAAAAAAGATCGAAGACTTTAACGTGACCCCGTGGAAAGTTTATCGTCACTCCACCAAGGTCATTTTCAGAATAGCCAAAGACCATCGGAAACCTTGCTGTCAGAATGTTACAGTGTCTTTCACTGTTGTGAACCTTTAGCACTAATTTTAGGCTTTCTCAGTTGTTAGTATGGGTGAAAGGCTAATTTCAAATTTTAAAATATTGAACAGATAGTCATGGTACACAGTATAAAAGAAGTTGACCTCTTTTATCTTTCTTTCTATTACATATCCCCTGACCCTAAATACAGAACTTGAATAGAAGTTAAAATCTCATTTCATCAGCAGTCTTGG